TTTCCCCATCCATCCAAACTTTGCCTCCTCTCCCATGAGAGGAGCTACTGGACTCAAGGTATGGAGATCCTTTTGTGTAAGTTATTGATGGGTTACTTGATGTAAGTTATTGATGGCTGGGTTTTCAGATAGAAAGCAAGGAAGCAAAAAATGTTCTATATTCCCAAGCCACCTGAAAATGCTTATTTGGCTTCTTTTTTACTCTCAAAATGAAAGACTTTGAACTTTCCATGAGTAACAGTTAACATATATGCAGCTGTGTGTCTACTATCGCTCTCAGGAAAGCAATTGTTTTTCCGTTATCACTGGTCACCCATCAGTGCTAAATTTAGGAAGGCAAATCCATAGCCGCTGGGTGAAATTAATTACACACGAGTAAATTAGATTCCAGCAACTAATTCTCCCGTGGYTGCCACAGCTTCAAGGAGAGCAGCAGGATGCTATCACAAACGTCCTCGTTCTCACACTTCACGGCTTAAACTGATTCACCGCTTGGGCTCAGCCCAAGCCGCGCTCAGCGGCGCCTCCCGGGAGCTCCGTGCGCGGCGCCGGCCGGGGAGGGCATCGCATTAGGCCGGGCCATTGCTCTGCTGAAGTGTTGCAGTTCCTGCCTTCCTGCTTGACATGGCAGAAAATCATCATTTCTCACTTGCCGAAACCGGAGCATCCACAGCGATGTAACAGTGCAGGAGATGTTGTAGGATATCTACTCATAAGGAATGCTGCGTATTTAATGCAAAGGATATTTGCAGCCTAGCTGTGTAATTGGGAAATTAAATTGTCTGAATGTTGTCATACATGCTAATTATCCTGAATATGCAGAGAGGAAAATCTGCATCTTGCATGTAGCATATCCAGTGAGAAGATAATGGTATTTTAAATTCATAGTTGCAGTCTTTGGTGCACAAAGGTGAGCGTATTTTAAGCATGTGTATTTCAGTTGGAATGCATGTGGAAAGAAAGCAAATACAGTGTAATTGTTTGCATTTTTTTCCCTCCAAACTTACAATGCCAGACAGATTGGGCAAATGCTAACTTGTAAATCAGGTTTACTAGCATCTCTTTGCATAAAAGTTCTGTGCTGAAAAAGACTCTTTTCTATAGGTATCATAATAAACATCAATTTGCTGCATCTGTCAATTTGCCTGTTCTTGCTTACAGTTGCTTGCAGTTATCTATATTTTGCTGTTGTGMAAAGCAAATATTTTGGCTAAAATGTGTTGAAATGCTGTTTTAACTGAGCCATTCATTTGCAACAAATGAAGCATAAAGAATACATTTTGGATGCTCCATTTAAGAGGAGTGATCATCATTTCTTCCTTACATAAATCCTATTCACTAACTCACCTGTGCAATGAATGGCATGGAAAATATATCTACCCATGTATTGTTCTTATGACACAAGTATGGGATTAAACCTGTACTTCTGATATGCTTTTTTTWWTWWTTTTTTTAACTGAAAAGTAAATGGAAAGAATATTCACTATTCATTTTGTTCCAACAAGGATCTTCATATCTCCTGGCTTGACTTCTSTAGATATAAGGAGTTGATGGCATTTATACAACCTGCCTCATTACGTTGTGCATAGCTTCCAAACTTCCCTGGAAGAGATGTGCTTTTATGACACCCATTTGGTTATTTTGATGCTGGCATGATTGCTCATATGCTCAAAGTTAAGCACATATCCTGTAACAGTTGAGGAATCAGGGTTTTGGATCATCTCTCTGACCTCCTTGGCACACCTTGGYCATCAACAGCATTTTCTTGGAGGAGATGTAACAAAATTAAATGATCCAAAATGCTCTTCCAGCTGTGTGTACATGGCTGCACTTTTTTATACTATAATTTGTGCCRTAGTTTCTGATTAACATATTAAAATCTGACATCTTCTGATAACTGCTTGCTAAATATGTTTATAAATATGCTGGGAATTATTCTGACTAGCAGTAGGGAATGGACAAAGCACTTGTTCCTAGAGCGTGTTTAATTATTCAGGTTGCAGGCTTTTATGGGCTAAGACTTGCTCTGAGGTGCTGTCATAGCACAGATGATAACAATTAGTATCTGGGCAGATGGTGARATAGAACCGGTATCACCAACTGCGGCAATCAGATGCTGCAATATTTGCTGGGACRTGGTCACTGCAGCTCTTTGGCAGTGCAGATTTTTGTGTGTGTTKGGGTTTTTTTTGAAAATCCCAGTGATGGGGGCTAGCAGAGTGTAAGACCCCTGCATAAAGGGGCCAAGGTAGCACTCAGATCATTAAAATTAGAGACAAAATGTCCTGACCACTTGGGGAACCTCTTCCCAAGTGCCATAGAGGAGTTGGAGCCCAAGAAGGTTTACCTCATGGTTAACTTGGTGTCAACCAGGATTCCCAGGTCCCTCTCTRCAGAGCTGAGGTTATTGACAGSAATATGATTTTTGATGCTTGTTGGGACCATCTAGCCACACTATCTGAAACTGGTCCACCATGGCAAGGGGAAATTTGTCTGTATTGCCATGAAGCAGGTGACAATATGAAGGACAAGCCCTTGGTTGCAGACTGACTCCTGCAGGACTTTGCTCCCTTGGTAGGAGCGGTCTCTACTGCTGGCACAACAATGCCTGGGTCTCTGCTGCAGCAAAAGGGTCTGCAAATACCTAAAAATGATTGCAAAATGTGCATGTTCCTGCAGCGAGATCACAGGCATGTGTGCTAAAGGATTCTCTTGCAACAGTCAAGTTCTAATATATTCTAGATTTAGTACAAATCCGTATGCTCTTGCATTGAGCACAAAAGGAAAGACTCTAAAAGGATTAAACTGCATTTGACATAGAGCAGTGCTCTCCATTTGCCCTGCTGTCAATCTGTTTAAAACACCACCCGCTCTGATGGAGATTGTGAAGATTTTGTCCCTGATGTGCTGCCCTGAGAAGGGCTGGGCTGSGAGTTGAAGATAAAATGGCAGCAGGAGCTTTAAAACCTCAACCCCTTGAATGAAGAGCAAAACTTTTGGATGATAAGGGGTCAGTCTTTATCTTTGGTCCAACAGCACACAGGTGACCCGTGATGATCCTTTATTGCTTTCAGCTGCGAAATGGAATTAAGGGTGAAGAAAACAGCATCTCCTGCTAGGGCAGTGGAGACACCCAAGATAATCTCAGTGCACCTGGGGACAGAGTTTGTTTGTGTTGTGCTGTAGCAACGGAGTTCAAGTATCATCCAAAATCTCCAGAGAGCGCATTTTTGAGCTTGGGAACAGCTCAGTTTTCCACAACTCTAATCCAGTGCCTTAAACTGAAGACTGTTTACTCGCTAGAATATTTGGCAGCAATAACCCCACACCAGGCTAGTGAACTTCTGCATTGGCCGGCAGTTTCCAGCTTGGCAAGGGAAGCAGTCTTGCCCTAATCTGTAAGATTTTGAGTGTTTTTTTGCATGCTGCTCTGAGCACTGTCCTTCTCTGCTGCCTTTGTATTCCTCCCAAGGATCGCTCTGATCTGCCCATAGTCATGTCAACTGCCAAGTGAAATGACCCCTAATAAGAAGAGATTTTGAAGCTACTTAGCAGGAAATTACTACATGTGATGTTGCTAAGCAATGTCAGGCTGTCAGTGAATGCTGAAGATAATATTTCTCTACTGAAAAACCCAGGGAAGGTTGAGGGGGTTTTAGGTAGCTTCTTAATTTTGTGCAGAGCTGAGAATTGTGGAAATAATGGGAAATAATGACACTTGTTTCACCAGGGCCAGTGCAGTAATTAGTGGGTGGGAGAAGGGAAGTCCTTTCTGGAGAGTGGAAGCAGCTGCAGGAAGGACAAGAGGAGATGGGGCAGGGGAAGTAGGAATAGAAGAGGAGGGACAGGTAAAAAAGGTGGTGGTGGGTCTGATCCAAAGGGAATGACAAAASAGGGAAATGCATAGAAAGGGGAAACCTCCCTGTCAAGAGACCATGGGGCCACTGAACTGCTAARTGTTCAGGTGACAGGGGCACCTTTCCAAATGAGACTAAATGGAGGAAACTAGAGCACAGTCCCTTGTGCGTGCGAGGTCTTGTCCTTTGGAAATTACCCTCCCTTGCACCTGTTGAAGCAAATGATGGCTTTGCTGTGCTTTTTAAGAACTTGAACTTTGCTTTAGTAAGGAAAAAAGCTCTTGAGATACAAGAGCTCTTGGGCTATGAGGGTTACTGTAATAAGCTAGATGGAGCCCTGCGGCCCACTGGTTAGTGCCACAGGAAGCGACATCTCCGTGTCTCTTTAAACAGCTTCTTCTGGACAGAAATGTCTTCTCTCCTCCTCTGCTGGRTTACTCTAGTCCTGTCTGATATTTGATATCTCCAAAAGCAGCCATGYTTCAGTGCTGAATTAATTTATTTGTGCAGAAGGTGTCGTATCAACGTCCATTATAATTTTGCCCCAGCAGCATCTAGAAGAAGCAGTTTTTCATCTCTGCCTTTCTTTTTCCATTTCCAAGAATTTTCTATTTGTGATTTATCCTTTTTTTTCCTTAATTCTAGGAAGATAGTACATTTGGAGCCTTGTTTTCAAAGACGCTTTAGAGATCGTTTCCAAAGCTGTGCACCACGCTCACGTGCTAATAGGCGGTGGACAGATGCTGACATGAAGCACCTTTTCACCCTGGGCTGGCAGGAGCTGGTGAGGCCGGGGGACCCTCCATCTGGCTTTTTGAAGCACRAGCAGCCCCCTGGGCCCCCGGGAGGCCGCACTGCAGAGGCTCAGGCTCCCGTTGGGCCGTTTGTGGCCAGGAGCCAGCGGCTGCCGCGATGAAACTGGATGTCACGGAGTGTTTTGTTTCTACAGCACTTCCATGAGCTTGGACGATGGGGTTGGGATGTGCAGAAATGGAGAGTTTAATGCTTATAAGGGGTATGATGAAACGTGTTGGACCATGATCAGGGACTCTGCATATATATGCCAGAAAGGTGGTCCCAGGGGCAGGAATACGGTCCCCAAACCCCTGTCTTCAAGCTCCAGGCCATGCCAGGGGTTGCGCCATGGCCTGTGCTGTTGGTGATGGGGTTTGCAACGGTGGCACCGCTCTGTCCACACTGTGACATCTTTGCATGGACATATGCTGAGCTCCTGCGAGCACCTGTTACAAGTAAGGGAAATCTCCTGCTTAATCCTCCTCTGGCTCTGGGAAGGGCAGTGCATGGGAAGGGGCCGGGAGAGGCGAGATACACCGGGCTGCAGGTCGGGGGATGCTCTGTCCTCTGCGCCCRGTCGCCCCAGCTGCACCCTGCCCCACTCTGCTGTTAAACGGATTTACAGGAGAGATGGGGCTCGTATCTAGGGCGTTCGCCCCTCGGCGGCGGGCACCCCGCGATACCTCCATCTCCTTGCCGGGGTCCAGACTCCGCCTCCGATATTAACATGCCTTCCTCCTCCTCCTCCTCCTCCTCCCCCCCCGTGCCCGCCCCCGCCGAGGCGCCTCGGCGCGGTGCGCGGCAGCAGCCGGGCGGGCAGCGAGCTCCGCGTGCCCGCGACAACTTCGCGGCTCCGCGGGGATGTGAACGTGCCCCGTTCCCCTCCGGCACCGCAGGCGGCCCCGGCAGCGCGGAGCCCCCGTGGCCGGCGGCCGCAGCCCGG